GCCCCAAATTCTGCCCCCACCCTCTCCCCATCTCCCCCCCCACCCCACAACTGTGCCTGCTGTGGGGTAGAGAGAGGTTGCCACACGCTGCGGTGGGGGGGTCCTTGGAGGGGCTGGAGGGAGAGTGGAGAAGGGGGGGGTGATGGTTGCTGGTGGGGGATATTTCTCTGACGGTGGGCACCTGAATCGGCCGCTCCAGGGCTGTGCCTTTGTGCCCTATTTCTTTGAACTTTTGGGGCTACCAACCCCAAGGTTAGGAACTTTAGGCTGATGTCCTAAAAAGTGCCCTTTTGGGCATTTCAGACAGTCGGAGAGAAGAGAAGGCGGCTGTAGGGAGCACACTGTGCTCACAGACTACAAACGTGGTCAACACGAGGGAGTGGTAGAACACATTTATTTTTTTTTATCCAGTGGATTTTTAAGGTGAATCTCCACTCAAAAAAAAACCCAAAACCCTGAGGCTTGGAGAAAGTATGAACAGTGTGATCTTGTTTGTGGTGCTTGTTGGTGCTTTGAGAGGTAGGACAAGTTCTCCCTGTGTTCCTTTCCTTGGGATATCTCCTTCCCACAGCCTTGAGCACTGTCTGGGAGGTTTAGGTCAGCTACCAGATGGTTGGTTGGTTGCTTTCCAAAAACTCAGTGAGCAAAAGGCTATTCCTGCTGCTGTCAGCTCCGGGTGGTGAATGGCATAAATTTTGGGCAGGGGCTGGTGACTGTGGCCAGAAGCTGGGCAGCCTCTGTGCTGTGCCTGAGGGTCTGGAGAACATCTCAGGACAGTCACCAGAAGCTGGGCAGCCTCTGTGCTGTGCCTGAGGGTCTGGAGAACATCTGAGGAGCTCTCCTAATCCTCCCTCTCCTGCTTCCCACCCTCTCCTGTGTGTATCTGCAAGAGCCTCTGGAGACCCTTGTTCTGGTTGTGCATGAGGAGCCTGAGGCCGAGTTGTTCCTCACATGGAGAAGCTGATGTCACCTGCAGGGACAGGCTGAGGGCCTGAAGCTTCAGAAGGGGCCTGAAGCTTCAGAAGGAGCCTGAACTCTTCACAGAATGGTTGGGGTTGGAAGGAACCTCCCTCCTAGATGATCTCGAGATCCTCTTAGTCCAAACCCTCTGCCAAAGCAGGGTCACCCTGAGCAGGTTGCACTGGGTCATATCTAGGGGGGGTTTGAGCATCTCTGGAGAAGGAGACTCCACCACCTCCTTGGGCAGCCTGTGCCAGGGCTCTGCCACCCTCAGATAAAGGATGTTCAGGATGTTCCTCATCTCAGATCGTGCTCGGTGGTACGGAGGGGGTCAACTGGGAGGTGGGGAGTTATGAGGAGAGGAAAAGAAGTGGAAACAAACCTTCTGCTGCCATGTCTGTGCTCTTCCCCCTTGAGATGCCACCTGCTGTCCTTCTTCCCTGCTGGAAAACTGGGGGAGAAGCATGGAAGGGGGCTACGGAGGGGGGCAGATTTTGGCAGGGCTGCTCCCCCCCCCCGGGAACCGGATAATTGAGTGGGGTAGAGGGAAAAATAGTCCAATTGGTGTCTGCTGTGGGGAAAGGAGGGGGGTCCCGGTGGGGCGGGAGGCGGAGGTTGCCCGGAGGTTGCCGCTGGATGGCAGCGACGCTCCGCCGCATCCCCCGACGGCACCGCCGCGGCCCCCGCCCACCCCCCCCCGGCGCCCCGGAGGGGCTGAGCTCCGGGGGGCCGGATTTCTCCGGCGTCACGGCGGGAGGAAAGCCGGGGGGGGCGTGGCTCTCGGCGGCCGGCCCGGGGCGGGGGGGGGGGGGGGGGTCCTCTGTCCCCCCGGCTCCCCAAAATGATGTTCAGGCTGGGTGCAGTGCCCCGGGGGGGGTCCTCTGTCCCTCTGGCTCCCCAAAATGATGTTCATAGTGGGTGCAATGCCTGGGGGGGGTCCTCTGTTCCCCCGGCTCCCCAAAACACTGCCCAGGCTGGGCACAGTGCCCAGGGGGTGTCCTCTGTCCCTCCAGCTCCCCAAAATGCTTCT